AAAATTTTTTAAAAATTTATTTATTTAGCCAGGCTCGGTGGCTCAGCCTGTAATCCCGCGCCTTTGGGAGGCTGAGGTGAGTGGATTGCCTGAGCCCGCGGGTTCGAGATCTGCCTGGGCAACTTGGTGAGACCTCATCTCTACAATAAATCAAAAAATTAGCCAGGCATGGTAGCGCACACCTGTCGTTCCAGCTACTTGGAAGGCTGAGACAGAAGGATTGCCGGAGCCCAACAGGTTGAGGCTGCGGTGGCCGGGAGCGGCCACTGCCCTCCAGCCTGGGCAACAGAGTGAGACTCCAACTCAAAAAAAAAAAATTATTTATTTATTATAAAGATGTGGGGTACAACTCAGGGTTAGGTATACAAACATTGATCACGCAGGTACCCTTGTTGACGAGGTATGCCCCTCCCTCCCCTAGCAGTTTCCCTCAACTGCCAGTCCCACCCCCCTCCCCTGACAGTTTTCCATTACTGCCACTTGCTTTCAGAATTTTTAATATCTGCGTTATGTACTTAATGGTTGAGCTCCCAAATCTGAAAATCCAAAATGTGAAGGGCTCTAAAGAACATTCCTTTGAGCGTCATGTCAGTGTTCAAAAAGTTTTGGACTTTGGAGCATTTTTTTTTTTTTTGAGTTGGAGTCTCACTCTGTCACCCAGACTGGAGTCCAGTGGCCGCTCCCGGCCACTGCAGCCTCAACCTGCTGGGCTCCGGCGATCCTTCCACCTCAGCCTTCCAAGTAGCTGGAACTACAGGCGTGCACTACCACACCCGGCTAATTTTTTTTTTGATTTCTTGTAGAGATGAGGTCTTGCCAAGTTGTCCAGGCGGGTCTCGAACCCGCGGGCTCAGGCAATCCACTCACCTCGGCCTCCCAAAGCGCGGGATTTACAGGCTGAGCCACCGAGCCCGGCTCTTTGGAGCTTTGAAGTTTGGATGCTCAATCTGCAACAGAGCTACTTCTTTAAAATTTTGGATCTACTTTGTTTATAAACATTTCCCATAGAAGCACTAGTTACTTCTTTTGTTTTGGCACCTCCACTCCTCCACTCTATAGAAGCACCTATAATATTATCTAGATACTTATTTTGAATACAAGTAAACGGAACATTAAAGAAAGTAAATTTGAAAACACTTGCTTTCTCTTCTCAATTTCCAAATAAAGCAAAGTCAGTGGTTTTATATACATTAAAATTCCTTCTCCTTTGTATTTCATACACTGTTAGTTAAATGGGACTGTGCCACGTTATTAACTAAGCAGCACTGGCAGATGTATTCCAGAGCAGTATACTAATAAAAATGATTACAAGGCTGTAAGATGCAACAGGGATAAAGATAGAAAATTTCCCAAAGACTTTGTAAAACATTTTTACCAGTCAGGCCTGATGGCTTATGCCTATAATCCCAGCACTTTAGGAGGCCGAGGTGAGAAGATTGCCTGAGCCCACGGGTTCGAGACCAGCTTGGGTAACTTGGTCTCTCTACAGTAAATCAAATATCTCTACAATACATCAAAAAATTGGCCAGGCATGGTTAGCGTGTCCCTGTAGTTCTAGCTACTTGGAAGCCTGAGGAGGAAGGATCACCTGAGTTCAGCAGGTCAAGGCTGCGGTGGCCATGAGTGTGCCACTGCATTCCAACTTGGGTGACAGAGTGAGATTCCAACTCAAAAAAAAAACCAACCAAAAAAATCTTTGCTACTACACTCTCCCAGTTTCATCGTAACTGATCCTTTTCTTGATATCCTCTGTTCTTTCTCCTCTTCTAGCCCTCTAAACATTGGAGTCTTTGGGGACATGGGGTAGGGAGGGAAGTCAGTCCTGGGCCCTCTTTTTCAATCTATGCTCTTCCTAGGCAATCCCACCCATTCCCATGGGTTTAAATATGAACCATGATAAATGCTTATGACTCAATTTATATCTATCTCTCTTCTGAGTCTCAAACCTGTACATCCAACTATTTTCTTAATATCTCCCTACAAATGAATTACAGGAATCTTGAACCTAACAGTTGCAAAATGAAACAGTATCTCCCACTTTCCCCTCCCTCAAAATCTACTTAGATCAACAATTTCTCACAGCTTTATCCACTCAGCTGTACAAACCAGAACCTACAAGTTATCCTTGATAACTTCCTCTCCCTCATGCCCAACACAGAAGCCAAATGCTATAATTTGCTTATACCATATTTCATCAGGCAACATTATAATACATAGCCACAGTTATTAACGGTATATTTATTTGTGCCATTTCTTTGCTTAATATGTTCCTCTCCCACTAAGCTCCACAAGGGCAAAGGTCATGCCAATTCTATTCACTATAGGAACTTAGTACCTGGCACAGAGTAGGTACTCAGTATTCAGTGAATGAATTAATCCCAGTACAGACATGGTATTAGTGAAAGCAAGCAAACCCATAAATGTTGTGTATGTCAGCAAACCATTCAAACACTGAACTGGGATTGTGGTTCTCTATTTTTGCTTAAAAAGACTCCTTTGGTAGATTTTAATTTTATAGAACCCCCTATTTTATACAGAGGTTTTTTTCCTCTTTGAATCAGTGGCTGGGAATAAGATTGGGGAAATCTATAAAGAAAAAGGGAGTTTAAATAACCAGAGACTGTGCTCAATGGTCCTCAGATCCCACTATAAAAACAGCAATACTTTTTGGCATTTTGCTTTTACCAAACTCTTTGTTACTGCAGCTGTGACATCCTCTTCTAAGGTGACTACTAAAACAACTAGAATATCTTATTTTAGCCATGCATACACACATGTGCACATGTACACATGTATACACACAGAAGATCTACAGCAGATCTTCTTTAAATCACATCCCAGGTACGACCACTTGTTGAGTTCTAAGTGGTTATGTATCAAAATGACTGGTGGCTGGGCATGATGGCACATGCCTGTAGAACCAGCTATTGAGGAGGCTGATGTGGGAGGACTGCTTGATCCCGGGAGTTCAAAGTTTGCAATGTGCTACGATTGTGCCACTGTACTCCGGCCTGGGTGACAGAATGAGACCATCTCAAAAAAAAAAAAGGGGGGGAAAAATTATAGTTTCAGTTGCCTCTAGGAACCCTCTTACAAATGGAAGGAAAAAACCTCATCTTTCATCTTGGAAAAACTTTTTAAAATAATATTTTACCAATTTAGAAAATCTGTATACTCATTTGTTTTAATACATATTTTCAAAATAGCCTCTCTACATTCTTCTTGGCTAACAGTCCTGGCTGGTGCTACAGCTTAGATTTCTTTTCTGTACACAGATGTAGGCATCTGCCTGCTTCCACATATTCCATAAAGTAACCACACTTCAGACGAACAAACTTGCAGCTGGGCTACCATTTATGTCTCTTATCATTTACATCAGGCAGTATTTCATAAAATGATTATCTTCTGTAGCTGAAAGAATACTTAGCGATTATCTAGCCCACCTGCTCATTTTGTAGATGAGAAAACAGAGATCTCAAGACTGACATTACGGATTTCTATTAATTTTTTCCTTTATGCAGATTTGATTGCCTCCTTATAAACCTGATCCCTGTATTTCATGATGACTGCCATAGGTTTTATGCCAGAATATTATGTATTATCAAGAATGCCAGTGCAAGAAATTTACTCTCTCGTTGACATACTGTCCTAACTTTGGATAGACTACTGAGATCTCAGTGCCAATCCCAAATTCAACAAAACTCAGAAACGAAATTGATATCCATTAATCTGAAAGGTAATATACATCCTAGTTTGAAGGAATGCTAGATTACAAAATAACTGATAAAGCCAAAAATGTAACTACCACCACTCAGCTAAGCAGGAGGACCTGTGGCAAAGTTGGCAGCATAAAGTATGTAATCAAAATGATTCTGTTGCCAGTAGCCACGTGTTTAATTGGTGCTCTAGCAGACTAAGGCTGCACTGAAAAGTTCAGCAATGGGGTGAATGAGAGAGCCCCTTTCTTGCAGCATCCATCAATATTCTAGGAGACCGAGATTCATTCATTCAGTCAGTAGTGAAAGGCTATTAAAAAGAAGGCACTGTTTTGGGTTCTGAGTGTGCAGTAAAATCAAAACAATCTCCTCACTCAGTTATCCCTGACTATGTAAGATTAACCCTCTAACTCCTTCACTTCTTATCACTGACCAAATGATGCTGGGCAGTTAACCGTAGAAAGCTGATTTCAAGTTCCTTTGACTAGGAGGGCTCAAGGATGTGGAACACTGTTCCCAACTGTTTCCTAACACATTCTGTTCTCTGATATTAAGAATCTTAGAGTTAGCCAGGCTCGGTGGCTCAGCCTGTAATCCTGCGCCTTGGGAGGCTGAGGTGAATGGATTGCCTGAACCACGGGTTCGAGACCTGCCTGGGTAACTTGGTGAGACCTCATCTCTACAATAAATCAAAAAATTAGCCGAGTATGGTAGCGCGCGCCTGTAGTTCCAGCTACTTGGAAAGCTGAGGCGGAAGGATCGCCGAAGTCCAGCAGATTGAGGCTGCGGTGGCCGGGAGCGGTCACTGCACTCCAGTCTGGGCGTGAGACTCTGACTCAAAAAAAAAAAAAAAAAAGAATCTTAGAGTTGTCTTAACAAGTGAAACTGGAGACTCAGAATACCTAACTAATTTTCCCAGAGTGGTTAAGTAGATCCTAGTTCTCACTCTAAAGTTTATACTCTGGTCCCTACAGCTAACTGCTAGCATCACTGATCAATAAGTAGTCACTTGATTCAGGAAAGAATATGCTTGCTGTATATTTCAAAAGCAGAATCACCCTTTCTTGCTAATTATCTTTTTAAAAACATAAACCAACAGCTATTTATATCCTTGTTTTCCCTGGACTTGGTTTTTCTGAATAGAACATGAAATATGAATTATAGTTATTCACCAGACAAAATTAAGATATATTTTCCTGGTAAACTCAATAGAAAGATCAGAAACTATAAGCGTAGGGGGGCCAAAAAGAACAAAAGAACTGTCTGTGCCATTTCTCAACACCATCAAGTTAGAGAACTTGCAAATCTCACTTTACTCTCTAGACCCTTCCCAGCATCAAAATAAGCAACAATTACCTCATTTGAATTTAATCCAGCAGTTGCAGCCAGAGGCACTTTCCCATGGAGCACTATGCTGGTCACCTCTTTTATTCCAAATGCTATGGAATCAAGGTCCTTCTGGATCCACATTCCAGTGGGGGAAGCCTCCTCTACAACAGGAGCTCCTTCTTCTGAGATAGGCACTGAATCAGCATGGGCAGAATCTCCTAGGAAGGGTACACCAGTGGGGGAAACTTTCTCCATAGGAAGTACTGCAGCAGCAGGGGAGATGGGTACTTCTGGGGTGGGCACTGCAGCAGCTGGGGAAGTGGGTCCCTCTGGGGTGGGCACTGCAGCAGCTGGGGTGGTGGGTCCCTCTGGGGTAGGTACTGAAGCAGCTGAAAAGGCAGGCTCCTCTAGGGTGGGCACTGGAACATCTGGGAAGGTGGGCTCCTCTGAGATGGGCACTGCAGCAGCTGGGGAGGCAGGTTCCTCTGGGATGGGCACTGCACCAGCTGGAGTATCAGGCGCTTCTAGAACGGACACTGCAGTAGCTGGGGAGGTGGGCCCCAATGGGGTGGGCACTGCAGGAGGAGGGGAGGTGGGTCCCTCTGGGATGGACACTGCAGCAGCTGGGGAAGCGGGCCCCTCTGGTGTTAACATTGCAGCAGCTGGAGTATCAGGCGCTTCTGGAGCAGGCACTGCAGCAGTTGGAAAGGCAGACCCCTCTGGAGCAGGCACTGCAGCAGTTAGAAAGGCAGACCCCTCTGGGGTGGGCATTGCAGCAGCTGCGGAGGCAAGCCCCTCTGGGGTAGGCATTGCAGCAGCTGGAGTGTCAGGTCCTTCTAGAAGAGTATCATCCTCCTCTGTGATGGGTACTGCAGAAGCTGGAGCAATCCACTCTGGGGAGGACTCTGCTACAGCAGGTACATTCTGCTGTGTGATGACCAATGCAACAGCTGGAGCAGTCTCCTCTGGGGAGGACACTACAGTAACTGAAGAAGTCCGCTCGAAAGTAGGCACTGCAACAGCTGGGGCAGCAGCCCTCTCTGGGGTTGATACTGCAGCAGCAGTGACATCCTCCTCTAAGGTGACTACTGAAGCAACAGGGATATCCTCCTGTGGGAAGGGTACTGTAGCAGCAGCTACAGCAGTTTTCTCTGGGGCAGGCTCTGCAGCAGTGGGAACTTCCTCCTCTGGGGTGGGCACTGCAACATCGAGGGCATCTTCTTCAGTGGGCAATGCAACAGTCAGAGCAGGCCTCTGTAGGATGGGCATACATTCCTCTAAAACTGGTTCAGTACTACTAGCCTTAGCAACTTGTTCCTCGTGAAAGATACTTGGGAATGAATCCAAACCTCTCATTTCCACCTCCCCTCCCTCTGATGATGCCACATTCAGCTTAGGCTTTGTATTATTCACAGTTTCTACTCCATCTGTGCCGTGTCTCAGCTCTCCAAGCAGCAGGTGCAAACTCAGAGTCTCTGACTCTGGGGACTTCCTTTGGAGATTGTGGAAGACTTGCTCTGGGAAATCTCTATGAAAATGTGCTGGGGCTTGCTCCTCCGAAAGCATGGCTTGATAATCCAGCTCTATTGCTTCACCATCCCCATCACAAATTTTCTCCATGGACAATTCACAAGAGTCCACATTTCCCAAGGATGTCAGACTGTTACTTTCTTGATTAACAGTTACTTTCTTAGCCCCCAAATGAATCTCATCTGTTAGTAATTTTGATTCATACAGTAACACCTCTACTTCAGGTCCTGAGGTAACATCTGTTAGTTCATAGTTAAAAGCAAAACTGAGGGAAGCCCTCTCCATACACTCCTCAACATTCCCCTCAGTTTGACTGCAGTCTACCTGGGACAAATTGCCATTTTCTTTGGCCAGCTCAGAAGCAATAAAGCCTGATAAATTTTCTTCATGAGAAGCCCTGTGATCAGAGTTCAGCAATCCTCCTGGGCCCAGTTTTCCCAGTGAATCCAGATCAGCTGGTTGTCTAGACTTAAATTCTCCCGCAGCTTTGGGGCTAAAAGGCACTTTTTCACATTCCTCCCTGCTAACAGTGGAAGTGTCCCTCATGATATCAAGGTGGGCAATAAGTTCCACAGCATTAGGCACCTGAGAAGAATCCAGGACATTAAAATATTCACAATCCAATCCAATATCAGAGTCCTTTACCTTTACATTTAAAAGGCCTACTTGCTGTTCCATTTCTAAAGCAGCCCCTGGAAAATGGCTAATTACAAGTAAATTTTCTGCATCCTGGGATGCGGCCAGCCCTTCAGAAGAGGAATGATTCTGCAGCTCAACTAGAGGAGCTACTCCTTCACATAAACACTCCTTTTCAAGTTCAAGAAACATCTGCACTGAATCTGTATCAGAGAGTTGCTCTGCATCAATAGGACCAACAGTGCATTCTAAATTCGAAAAAACACTTTCTAGCCCCTGAGCAGTCCTGCTTTCCATCTCACCTATAGTAACCTCACCTGTAAGGACACAACTGCAATCCAGGGGTGTATCCGTGGAAAGAGTAGCCAACAGGTCCTTAGCTGGCTGTTGGTCATCAGAGCAACAAATTTGACCAAGAGTCAGGTGGTCAAAAGTCCCCAAGACAGCAGCTAAGTGATCAGATCCATCCTCCACCACTGCTTTTGTGTTTGCTTGTTCTTTTTCTTCAAAAATATCTGCCAGGCTGTTCTTTTCATCTGCTATTAGAAAAGTCTTTCCTTTCTCTGACAGTTTATCTTCCTCCCACTCCTCCTCAGTTTCCATCATGATCCATCGCTCATCCTCCTCAAACTTCAGCTCAGACTCTGTTTTCTCTCTGAGGCTGGGGGTTATGAGAATATGCAATTCTGGACCTAACAGCTCTTCACTCAGGCAAGGAGAGAGAGGTGGTATTTCCACAGTGCAGGCTGTGTCCCCAAGGGGGTGCTGCTTCTCACTGAAGCCTCCCTTAGCTAAACTTTTCATGGCCCTTGGCCAGGTTGCACTTGAGAATCTGTGTTCCTGCATTACTTCTGTGTTACCACTTGCTGTTGCAGCTTCTGATTCTACAGGCTGGAATTCATGGGGAGAGCTCTCACTATGCTGCTGAAATCTGAAGTCCTGGCAGTCACCACTTAAATTTTTTACATCTTGCACTTCTGGAATACCTAAGGATTTGGACACATGTTCCAGAGTTACTGATTCTGACTGAGGTTCCCTGTGATCCAATTGACCAGAACTTTCTGTTAATGCAGAACTAGATTCTTTCTTCTCTCGCAAGGAAGGATTTGAAGCACCAGCTTCTGAAACCTCACTGAGAGAAGCTTCCATCCTTTCTGCAAATTCTGGGAAGTTAGGTGGCATGAAGGACTTCCAAGATCTCCTGTTAACATTGTCTTTGCGTTCTGCATTTGGCCGTCTTCTGGGTGGCACAGGTGCTGACTTCTGCACATCACTGCTTAGCTTTAGTGCATCAAATATTATTCTCTCATCCAACTTTTTACCTTCTGGTGCTCTAGATTCAAAAACATTAGATGCTGCTCCTAACGTACCATTGCTGGATATAGTACTTCCTTCCATCTTTTCCATGGTGCTTTTTGAAGTCTGGTTAAGCTTTGACCCCTGGTCAATTTGTTCATTTATCCTCATCGTATCATATATAGACCGCTGTGGAACATAGCAGTCCTCTATGTAGCCATCCTCCTCCTCTCCTTTTCCCAGGCAGGTGGGATTCCGCCTTAAACAGTCCGGCCTGCTGAGTGGCTTACCCATACTTTTTCAATCAAGATGAACCATCAGTTTTGCAAAAGTTTTTTTTCACAGATTCCCCCAAAATGCATTTTATGTAAGTTTATAAATTCTTTTACCTGTTCATACCCCAAACCACCAATTGCATCTGCCCTCCAGAAAGGCCTGGAAGTCCCATTTTGAAACCACTCTGAGAGAAGCTCTAAGACAAACGGCCTTTTCCTCACAGACTAACAGCCTCATGGTTGTAGACAGATATGTGGTATAATTTAATCAACATAAGATAACTCTTTGTATGGCTTCTGTATTTTTCTTTTTAAAGAGCACTGCTCTTTCTAATTCAGTCAGCAAAAGTCATCTGTATTGACAAGTCTTTTTCAATATCTCGTTCCACTCACTTCTCACCGAAGCAGAGTTGGAAGCAGCGAATTTATGCCGATTGTGTTCTTTAATAACAATAGCCCAGCCTTTTTAGTCCTGAAGTATGGCCCAAGCTCCTAAGAATTCCTTTCATTTTATCCTTAGTTCCAGCTCTGGAGAGTCCAGCTGGTCTGAATTAGCCATTCGTCCTCCCTAGTTGGGGTGTTTGTATTTGAACTGGGCTGGTCGGCGGATATTCCTGCAACTTTAAACACAGGAAGTCCTTCATTCGGGGCCAGCTTGGGGCTTCCTGTCTCCAAAACATCATGGCATTGTTGTGGCTCCCAGGCCAACCCCGCGCTGTGACTGCAAAACAAGGCGAGGGAGCTCCGCGCCGGGCCTTTCAGAAGGCGGGCGGGCTACAGCGGCGGAGGGGGTCCGCGGGAGGGCTCGCTCAGCACGGCCCGCTCCCCTGCGCCATGCCGTGCGCCCCGAGGGCCAGGGTTGCTCACCGCAGACTGGCAGGTGGCTCCGGGCC